CTCAAGCGCAAAGCCAGGCACTCGCCCAATACCATGTGGTCGTACGCTGCGTCAATCCAATCAAATTCCAAGTCTAGGGCTTTCAGTTGACCTCAGGACCATGTCGCTCTCCATCACAGTCTTATCCCACCGTCCGCCATCCAGTTGTTGCGACCGGCCTTTGCAGCCATCGGAGACCCGGGATGAAGATGCCGAGGAGGTAGAAAGGTGAACTTACCGGGGGATCTATTACACTCTGTACATGACGAAAAAAATCACTCACGGATGAGCTCGTTGCTCACTATAAAGAGTACATTCTCCCCAGATCCCCAAATTCCATACCACTTCCAAGGGTGGTATGGGGTGGTATGGTTCCAAGGGTTGTATGAGCTCGGTAGCTGTGCGAACGCGCAGCCTAATCTGTTTGCCTTCATCATGCAGGTACTCACGATGCCTTCAAAGTTGTTCCTGCTGTTTCTCATGCCTGGCTTCATCGGACCGTCAACAATTCCCGCCCCCTTCCACAGCAGCACTTCAAACTTGAATCCCGCTACTATCGCACCGGATCCAGCAATAGCGCCACCACTGCAAACCTTGAGCCTCGACCACACGTGGACTACCCCATCAAGACAGACATCATCTGCAGCCACGACTACAAAACAACCGCCCCTGTCCGCGCCGCATTGTGGGCTCGGTAGCTGTGCGAACGCGCAGCCTAATCCGTTTGCCTTCATCATGCAGGTCAGTAACAGAAGTGCTTTTCTTGCTAAGAAATCGAGTAATTATTTTTTAGTTCAGCTGCCGAGCCCACGGTGCTGTGTTGTGATTATTGTTAAGTGTGTGCAGGTCATACACTCTTTTTTGCTTTTGGAGGGGGATGTCGAAACTAACCCTGGGCCTCCCACTGGTGAAGACTTGCTTACTGAATTGCAGAAGCTATTCACTGGACAGAATAAGCTTATTTCCGACATGCAGGAAATTAAAAACCAACTAAAAACGACGGACGTAACAATAACAGATTTGTGCAAAAGCATCACTGACCTTGAAAAACATTGCACTGCCCTTTCATTCATGCGCACAGAGCTGGTTGACCTAAAGACACTCACAAACGAAATGACTCACAAGATCTGTAATCTCGAATCTCGTGTAGATGACAGTGAGAACCGTTCGAGACGTAACAATTTTATATTTTATGGCATTCTGGATACTACTAAAACTGAAACGTATTCGGACTCGGAAGAAATAATCGTCCGTCACTGCTGTGACACACTCCAACTAACAATTCCTCCCTCAGAAATTGAGCATGCGCACCGCCTGGGGCGCTTCTCAGAAAACCGCATTCGACCCATAATTGTAAAGTTTCAATCATCCAAGACAAAAGAACTTATCCTTTCCAACGGCCGCAAATTCAAGGACACAGGCTTCAGCGTGGGCGAGGACTTCTCCCCTGCCGTACGTCATGCGTGCAAACATATAATTACTTTTGCAAGAACTAAGTCAACAGCTTTCACTGTGCACTTCAAAATCCTCTTTTCTCATAACTAAACGCTACGACAAGACATCGCAGTCTGTGAAAGAAATAAAATAGCAATCATGCTGTCCTCGACCAAGGCCAACCTCCCCCCAAATTGTCCCCAAATCAGCTTTTTCGTTTTCCGTGATCTCCACTAATATTAGAAGTATCAATTCAAAGCGAGAACATATTTCAAATCTGGCTTTGTCATCCAACAGCGACTTTCTTATATTAACCGAAACATGGTTAAATGACAGCGTCTCAGATCAAGGGGTCTTGGCCGATTTACCTAATTTTCAGCTATTTCGGAAGGATCGAAAAGATTAGAAGGGAGGAGGAGTTCTTGTTGCCAGAAACCAAAAAATAACCTGCTCGTTAGTTAACCTGTCATCTGACCTTGAAATTATTTGGATTCTTTGTTCTGCAAAGCCCCAGTCAGTATTACTTGGCGTCTGCTACAGGCTCCCGAAGAGCTATCCTGACTTTTCTAATAACCTTAACGACGTCTTAAACGAAGTTACAAAAAAGTACCCCAACGCCCCCGTAGTTTTGTTCGGTGATTTTAATTTTCCGGGTATTAACTGGCTTAACCAAACCATGCCATCACAGGCACAAGGCAAAGCCGGGGCTTTCCTGGACGTTTTTTTTAATTTTAATCTTTCACAAGTGGTAACTGCACCAACACGCGTAACACAAGAGTGTGAAAATATTTTGGACCTAATACTAACCAGTCACCCAGATGACATGGTCTCGATTAATTATCTCCCCGAAATAAGTGACCATAAGGTCATCCATACCGAATTTGCATTTAAACCGTTAATTCATCAAAACACCCAGAAAATCATTCGGTTGTACGACAAGGGGAATTATGAAGCAATAAATTTGGCACTTAACGCATTCTTATCCAGTTTAGAAACTACTTTCTTTTCCCGGTCCGTCGAAGAAAGCGTGACACTGTTTAAGGACAAGGTCAATGAATCGACTGACAAGTTTATTCGGAAATCAGGCTTCCGCGCAAACTGCCAAAAGCCATGGTTCTCTAAATCTCTGAATAGATTAGAAAACAAGAAAAAATGCCTGTTTAGATTAGCAAAAAGACTAGAAGACTCGCAAAAGTGGCAGAAATACTACGCAGCTGAAAAAGCTTATTTATGTGCAGTTCAAGACGCAAAGAATTATTTTTTCAACGTTGACTTACCAAGCATGCTGACTAACAACCAAAAAAAATTTTGGCAGATTTTGAACCCCCCCCCCCCCCCCCATACTGCCTGAATTACTCTTACCAGTGAATCGGGTCACGTATTCACCGATGATCAATGCGCTAACATCTTCAACACCGCTTTCTCATCCGTGTTGACCAAAGAAAGTAACGTGTCATTTACAATACCACCAACTATTATAGAGTGTGCTATGCCACTGGTATCATTCACTGCTAATGGAATTATGTGCTTAATCGACAAATTAAAACTTTCCTCCTCTTCTGGTATTGACGAAATCAACTCCAAATTCCTTAAGAATACAAAATATATTTGTGCATCTTTTCTATGCTTGCTCTTCTCACAGTCACTTTAAACAGAACGCCTACCAGATGACTGGAAGAATGGGAAGGTCGTTCCAATTTTCAAATCGGGTAACAAAAATTCACCATTAAACTATCGTCCCATATCTTTAACCAGCGTTCCCTGTAAAATAATGGAACACGTCATCTACACGCATACCATAGACTTTCTTGATTCAAACAGCTTTTTCCATCCAGCACAACATGGGTTCCGCAGAGGTTTCTCTTGTGAAACGCAACTGGCCTTATTTGTTCATGATTTGCATACTAACCTGGACTGTAACTTACAAACCGATGCCGTATTCTTAGATTTTTTCAAAGCGTTCGACAAAGTACCCCATTCTCGACTGTTACTAAAACTTTTTCACCTTCACCCGAGCATGCTAAATTGGATCAGAGAATTTCTTACAAACCGCTCCCAGTCTGTTAATGTACCTCTAATCCTCTTCCAGCAACGTCCGGAGTACCCTAGGGCTTGGTTCTTGGTCCCCTTTTATTCTTTATATACATAAATTACTTGCCTTCAAACCTAACCTGTAAAACCCGCCTGTTTGCTGATGACTGCGTTATATATGACACTGTTACTGACACTTCAAAACAGTCATTTTTACAAGCCAACCTGAACTGCCTCCAAGAATGGTGTGAGCACTGGCTCATGGAACTTAACCCGAGTAAATGTAAAGTCGTTTCATTCCATCGCTGCCGCATGCCGCTTGTGTATCTGTACGCAGTTAATGTCATCTCCCTAGAAAATGTTGCGTCATACAAGTATTTCGGCGTCACTCTTTGTAACGATCTTTCAAGGAACATACACGTCACTAATATCATTTCATCTGCAAATAAAACACTGGGTTTCCTTAAACGCCATTTACGCCTCGCTCCACAACACGTAAAATTACAAGCATACAAATCCATCGTTCGACCTAAACTAGAATACGCATCGTCAATTTGGGACCCTCGACAATCTTATCTTACACATGCCATCGAATCGCTTCAAAACCGGGCCGCTAGATTTATTCACTGTTCATACTCTTCCACTGTCCGCGTATCTGGATTGAAAGCAGAATCTGGTTTACCAGATCTACAACTTCGCCGTCGTATTGCCAGCCTGTCAGTGTTCCACAAACTTTTTCATAGTCCCTTGCATGCCCCACCTTATATTGTTCCCGCAACACGCATATCTCACTGCACGAGCCATTTGCTTCAAGTTGCTCGGCCACGTTCCCGGACTTTTACTTTTTCTGCCTCATTTTTCCCACGTACCGCACCAGACTGGAACGGCCTTCCCAGTGAAATCGCAACCATTCTCTGCCCTTCCTCGTTCATAGAAAATATCAATAAGCACTTTCTATGTTAAATCTTTGGCTTCTATGTTTTGTCTTTATAATTACCCACCCCTTATGTAATACCCCCTCGTGGGTCTTTAAGGAAATAAAATGAAATGAAATGAAAGGGTGACGCCCACACCCACCCCTGTAAACGTCCACTATTGGGGCATGGTCACTGCACCGTACCTCTGGCACCAAGGTACCCCTTCGTTGTTGTGAGAAGGCCGCTGGGGCAATGGGTCCCACGCTCATACCGACGCAATCACAAGGATCACCGTTTATCACGCTCAATAAGCAGGACGAGTTGTCGTTGGGGCTAACACAGCCGTCTTTTGCAGGAAGATTTCGCGACCACGAAAATTACTGAGGTGTACTCATGCAACACCTTATGGTTTCGTACTGCACAGAACCTCACTTCACGGCTAGGAAGGTCAATACAGGGCGAACATCAGGCGGGCAGCCTTTCTGCTACTTGTCTGATGAACAAAAGACCCCGCAACCCTGTCGACCCAGGCGCCGATCCTAACACTCCACACAATGTTGAGTAATCTGCCATTGTAGGCACCTTGAAAGTGACTCGAAGTTGCAGAGCACAAAGAAGGTTGCAGAGCACAAAGCTTACCCCTGGTGCTGTCATTCTGTTGATGAGGTTTCCTGGCAAGCCCCAGAAGCAGATATGACCATCCTGTATGACAAAACATAAAAAAAGATTAAGAGAGACACTAAACCAAGGAGAGAGCCACTTGTGTTAATGACAAGTGACTACTAATGGAGAGGTGCGGAATACAGAATCCGGATATAATTTTTGTTGGCGACTGCTTAAATTACATTAAAGGTAAAATTAAAGAAGAGTTACAGAAAGTACACTCATAGTTTAAATGAAACCACCTAAATGTCAACACAGAATGCAAATTATTCAAAAACTCAAGTGCCAAGGTTAAACATGAGTCTAGATATCGCACTACTGCATTGAATAGCCTTGTTTATGTACTTAGGAGTGATATTTGACTCAGATATAAACAGTCAATGGCATACAGAAAGACATGCCCAAACAAGCATATGGGTATCACCATATCACACACTACTGAAGGCCCATGATTGTTTTGGTGCAACAATTCTATGCATTCTATATTTCGCATTCGTGGTCACTTAAGCTACTGCATGGCATCATGAGGCAGTACACATTCTGGGAATCGAGGCTAGCCCGCCACCAATGTGCGGGCTTTGTCGCCCATTTCTGCCATTCTCATGTCCTGACATGACTCTCCCCTCCCCCGCGGTATGTCGCGCTGAGAGAGCGGGAGTGATGTTTAACCCCTCTCACCTGGTAGCGGATGTCAACTGTGGTGCCATGCGCAAAGTCTCTCGGGACGCTTCGTGCACGCGCGCGTCGAGAGTGAGAAACTTTTTGGGACGACGTAGGGGGAGCACACATTTCTTTCCCGTCTGTCGGCACCTTTTATTTGGGGCTCATTCTGATTTCGCCAACGGCACCTTGCGCCCGCAGCAAACACTCACTTTTCGTTGCCTCTTTCAAATGCTAGGCTGAAGAGCAGTGAGGTGTCTTTGCTTATGGTCCTGCTACGCTGATCCGTATCTCTCGAAGCCAATGCAAGCGAATTTTGCCCTTGCTCAAACGATCGGTGTCCCCAACCGTGAAAACAACCCAGCATAGTCGTGAAAGCCAATTCGTCCTCAGCGGCACGTCACCGTGAATCCCTTTTGCCCAAGTAGACGTGCTTACGGCACCCTGTGTAGTACTTCTCGCCCATGGCGTGGATAAGCCCATTTGATTGATATTCAAGATTGTTTATTGTCTCTTTTTCATTTTCACCAAATACATGCATGAATGTCTGGATCCTTAGCCTATTGGCTAGTAATGGATCCATTAAAAACATAATACAAATGAATCAGGGGCTATGTATGTACAACCACATGTTTGGGGGGAAATGTAGTATATACAGGTGTTCAAAAAATTGTCCATAAAAAGCATGTGTATGAATAGGAAAGACACATTCAAGATAAATTACAGTGCTAAAAACAAACGCTCGGTTTATACAAAAACTATGAATAAGACAGCTGTGTATAGTTCTCATTGCAATAACACACATACAGAAGACCACACGTCAGGACTGCAGTACATCGTCAGTGGTAGAGGCTGCAAATTTTATCGTCGTCCCCAAAACAGCAACAGTAGGAAAAACATGTACAAGGTATCATAAGTTGATGTTATTTTCAATTTTTATTTTTTTTTTCCCTACTTTTTGTTCTTCGATAAGCTGGATGTTGTGTGATCCAAGAAAAAGTCTTTTAAAGCCTGATCTATCCTGGTTGATTGTAAAACGGATGACGGGAGATCATTCCAATCTTTAACCCCGGCGTACTTGAGACGGCGTTGTCCGTATGTGTTATGAGAGAGAGGGATTAAAAATTTGCCTTCGGAGGTAGAGCGACTACTTTTACCTGGTGTTTGGAAAATAGTTCTAGGAAAGGGGAAGTTGTTACAAATTATTTTATATACCAAGAGAGTTATACGATAATCTCGTAGCGTAAGCACGGGCATTATTGCGGTTTTGGAAAATAGAGGCTGAGAGGGTCTACGAGGGGGAACATGGTTTATTATTCTCAAGGCTCTCTTTTGTAGGCATATTATGTGCTTGATGTATGTGTGATAGGTGAATCCCCAACACTCGATGCAATATGTTATCTGAGATTGGAACAGAGAGAAGTAGATGGTGCGCAAGATATCAGTTTCAAAATGCTGTCGAGCTTTGGTCAGGGTAAAACAGACAGAGGAAAGTTTCTTCCCCAGTGTGTCTAAATGGGGCTTCCAGTTTGACGCATCGTCCAGCATTACGCCTAAATATGAGATCCTACCGACTTTTTCTATTTCTGTATCATTGACCTTCAGCTTGCCCATAGTGAAGTCTACAGGCTTGCAAGGGGATTTAAAAACTATATATTTGGTTTTATCGGTGTTTAAAGTAAGCCTATTTGTTGTGAACCACTCGCTGATTTTTAAACGGCTTTTTGCGGCTGACCCTTTTGTAACGGGTTCTGTACTGCGTTTTTGATGTTGCCACAGGCAATAACAGTTGATACTTGTTTTGAAAGCAGTATTATGTACTTGCCATGCTGCCCTCAACGCCTTGGCAGTCCGAACGTACTCCTTCGCCGTACACCTTCAGGATACGTGTACACTACACTGGCACCCAAGGTGGTATCAAAAAGCTCAAAGCTTTTCAATGCTCTTAGCAAGTCAGTTCACCTGAGCGATTCAGGCTTGTCGCAACATGCCTGCTTCGTGGCATTTTCCTCTGCTGACCTTTTTATTGCACAACAAGGTCGCTGCCTCTATCGACGGGCATCTTTCTGCACCTGTCCGTGTCGTCACCCCCTGTCGTGGTGAACACACCACCAACGTGGCAACTGGCGTGCTATCTCGTGCCCCCTGTTGTCTGCCGAGAACCTTGATCCCAGTGCGACAGCCGCTCGTAGTGCCTTTGCACATGCAAGCATCGGGGGTGAAACGGTGGCTTCGCCGTCGTTCGGTGGAAAGGGCAAGTCCCCATGCGTACAAACCTTGGCTGCTACCCAGGTAAGCAGCGCACCACGTAGCGGCCGAGCCGGGGAGTTTTCCAAAGACCACGATGCCGAAAACGAACCCGTGACGCTGACGCACACCGCGGTTGCTGTGGTCCTGTGTGGGCGCGTTACCATTCTTTTTGGGAGAATGGTATCGATTCCCATTTTTGGGGGGAACGCCATTACGCTGCTTGCTCTGCAGCGGGCGCGAATAGGGGGCTCGAACCAGCGTGTGTCGCCGAGTCCCTGGCGGATTCATTTTGCTGGGCCATGACGGGCTCCTGCTGTACTATATAGCCACTGATGAGAAGTCTGCGGATAGGTTTAAGGTGGCTATGCCCAAAAAAATTGGGAGCCGCACAGTTGCGATCCTCTCACAACAAACTCATGGCCAGTCACCAGAGTGGCTCGACAGTTTTTGCAAACTGAGCAATACTATGACCTGGCCCGGCCCGAAGCGTGACATTTATCGCTATTGCCGTGCCTGCCACGTCTGAAAAATGGTGGAACCAAGGGTTGGCAAGCCGCCCGGTCTTATGAACCGATCGTCAGTGAGCATTCGTGGCACGTACTTGCTCAGAAAAAACTCGGTCGTGCCCATATCACAGACCTGAAAGCCTTCGTATCACGGTCTCACGAGCTCGTGTGAGCGCCCAGCGGCACTTAGAGCAGGCAACAGGGCACACCCAGAGCGGCAGATCGCATTCGGACACCGCAGCGATATAATCTGAGGAAGCGGTCACCTTCGTGATTTCCCGCTGGACGGCGGACTTTTTTCACAACCTAAGGCCCTCAGTTTACTGTCTAGCCTCAGTATGGTTAGCTTCTTTACGGCCTATTCTTGTAAAGAAGTCGGCCCCGCCCAGTTTGCTTCCAGTTTTTTAGGGGGAGAAGCTCCTTAGGGCGTGGGTCTGTACATCCCGTGGGGTTTGTTGTTGGTGATGTACGTAGCCACGGGTGGCACATACCCGCTCTAGTTTGAGTATGTGCCACCAATGGCGGTATTTGTATGAGGAACTAGATGGTGGTACTTGTAGCTGGTGATGCTTGTATGCTCCTAACGTATATGTCAGAAATGCCAAGGCGTACATAGACATGGCATTAAAAGAGTACAATACAAAGTACAAGAATGCACCGTCCATACTCGTTGGTGATTTCAAAGTTGATATCGTAAACACGACCAATAATTGGCTTATCCAACATGTGGCTTCTAGATATGCACTCAGATGTATATCGTATGACCATGTGAAGCCAAACACAGTCCGAGAACACAGTCCACGAAAGCAGTACTGTGTACTTGCCACGCTGCCCTCAACAGCTTGGCTGTCAGAACGCACGTGTGCAGCGACATTAGTCACGCGAGGCAACGGTGACGGTGTGCCCTGCGGCTCGCTAAGACCGAACCCAACCTAGCGGTCGTACTTTTTTGGAATACGCGTGCGTTACAATATAAAATTCGTATAATATGTATTAGCCATCTACAAAAAAAAGCAATTAGGGTTATCAAATGAAAAAACTTTATAAGGGTTACCTCATTCTCAAACTGCAAGGATAATGCAAAACTACAGTTTCAACAAGCACATCTACTACGGCTGGTCTCTGTTCACTTCTCCAGTGTTGCTGATATAGTGCTTAGAAAAAAAAACATCAGCCGTTCCTATTAAGCACTTTCCGTTGCCTGCACTCCATGTAAAATCTGCAGCGTACAGCCTGGTTCAATTTACCAGTTGCCCGAAATTCCTAAGATAGAAGGCTTACAAAATATCACAGCGCTCCTCATTTAGAATTCTATTCCATACCGACTCATGTGAAAGAGGCGAATAATTTTTCTATGGCCATGAAGTGCTTTATTTGCAGTTTTAATTGTTCTAATTATATAAGTGGTCACTTTGTCTGCTGTTGTTCTATGTTTATTTATTAATGTTTTTCTAATTTGTATCCAATTTATTGTCTTTCCTCGTTGTTGTAACCACTCACAAATGTAGGCATGCCACACAATTGGTACCATTATATACCTGCCAAGTACATGAAGTCTGAATCATGGAGACTTTCAAAATGAAGGAGAGTTTTGAACACTCATTATGGCTTATACAAGACACG